CAAAAAATCAAAAAATATTGAACTATTAACACGAGATGAAAATTAAAAAATTAATAATAAGAAAGAAAATAAAAAATTGAAAGATTTCAAACAAAGTTACTTCAAGACGTTTCGATTGTTAGTATCCACAATCGTCTTCGTATGATAATTGGACTTATTCCTCCGAAATTTGACTGCTTATAGGTCATTCGAGTGCTTTCGCCTATCCCCTTTTCCCTATCTCCGCTTCATCGGTTTTAGCGGAAGCTGGCCGTTTGGCGGGAGTTGGTCGTTTTCCGCTTGATTAGAGGTTTCCATATGTTGCGTTTCTCTATGCTAGCTTGGCATAACATATATGTGGATTTTTTAAATTCTCTTCTAAACCAGTGTTCTTTCATGTGAATGATTTCAGCTTGAGCCCACTTGATGTTATGTTGATGAGTCCGAACGTGCTCTGCTATTCCTGATTTCTGGTTTCTCCTCGCTGTGTGTGTTTCATATGCTTGGCAATTCAAACTTTCAATGGTCTTTTAGTTTCACCGATGTAAGATTTTCCGCACTCGCAGGATATCCGATAAATGCAATTCTTGGAATAGCAGTCCGCGTTTGGTGGCCTGGTTTTAGTGAGGCTTCTACGGATAGTGTTCCCAGATCCGAAGCAGGTTCATCCTTTCTGACATTACTCTGATGTAGGAAAGTACAAGTACTGGTTGTGGCAGCTTCTCTTCCTTGTGGAGTTCTTGCTGTCTTCTAGCTAAAGCCTGTTCCACTATCACTTTGGAGTAACCGTTTTGATGATGCCTAGTTCCTTTTCAAGACCTTTCTTTGTATTACAGAGCCCGAAAGCACGGTCTAGCAGAGACTTGATAATTCCACTCTTGGTCGATTGATGGTGGTTGGATTCCTGGTTCAGATACTGTACTATGAGAGTGGGTTTTCGATATACAAATGTTTCCCATTTCGTGTTGGTCCTCTTCACCAAAACATCTAGAAATGGCAATTCATTGTGGACTTTCTTCTCCATTGTGAAAGTGATGAAGGACTTACGTTGTAGATGTGCTTCAGAAAGGCCTTTAGTTCCGCATTTCCATGGTTCCATATTATGAAGGGGTCATCCACGTATCTCAACCAGACTCGGGGCTTCTTGTGGGCTTCTTCAATGGCCAGATTTCGTCCATCAGTTGGAAGTAGCAGTTTCGTACACAGCATCCTGGTAATTCCTGATTACTTGTACTGATTACTTCAACAGGGACGTTGGTGTAGAGGCTCTCCACGTCAAAACTGATCAGTTGATCTTGCTCTTTGACTTTGATTGACCCTAATAGTTTAACAAAATGCCTTTGATTCTTCACAAGGATGATGTATTTTCTTGCAGTGGTTTAATTATTTTTAGTAAAAATCTGGACAAGTTCTGAGTGGCTGAATCTCTGGAGCTAATGATCGGTCTGATCGGAATATCCTCCTTGTAGATTTCGGGTAGTTCATACAAGTGAGAGAGCTTACTGTGGTGCGGTGTTAGCGATTATCTCTCTTTTTCCGAAAAATAGACTTAGTGTTTTTTCAACGTCTGGTACCTAAAACCAAATCACAGTCAAGATACTCAACAAATTTCTAACTCAAACGTCGAACAAAATCAATTAATTCACGCTAATATTCATACGATTCCAGACAACAGTCGTATCAGAACATTTTATCAAGGAATCGAATTCAAATTTCTAATAGATATCTACAGGCGTATCCGTATCTATAATAAAAGCGGAAAAAACAAAACAAACGGAATTATTTTATAATCCTAACAAAAATTATGTTAAACGGTATCAACCCTAATTCCTTGATTCCTACCGCGGGTACTATAAATTTCAATCTCCAGGTAGACGAATTCGAATTTCCTATCAAGTTTCGTAACGTGAAACAAGAATCTAATATCCCATATGACGGTATAATAAGAAATGATTTTCTAACTACACAAGAATCAGAGCAAATTGATCTCGATAAAAATGAACTCCGAAGGTGTTTATCTCGCAATATCAATCGTTGAGGTAGAAAATCAAAAAGCCATCACCACAGGTCTGAATACAACTGATAGAATATTAAGAATGAATAATAGAGAACTGATTATTGAACCATTTATCGAAAATCAGTCAACAAGTTTAAATATTAACGAAAATAGATGAATTTCAATAGACTAAATACTCTCTCGAAAAATCTTAGGCTCGATCATCTGAATTCAGAAGAGAAAAATTCGGCAACGAATACAATGATATTTTCTATCTACCTGATGATGATTTCACTTTAACCAATGCTGTTGAACATGAAATCAACACCACAGATAAAAACCTATTGTGTCAAAAATATATAAATTTCCACAAATTCATAAAAATGGAGTTGATAAACAAATCACGAAAATGCTCAAGCAAGGAATCATCAGACCTTCAGTATGGCCTTACAATAGTCCACTTTGGATTGTTCCCAAAAAATCCGACTTTTCAAATGAAAATAAAAGAATAGTTGTCGACTACCTGGAACTAAATAACGTTACAATAGGACATGCATATCCATTGCCTAACATTGAAGGAATTTTGAATCAGTTAAGTCATTCCATTATTTCACCACTTTGGACTCAGTCAGCATCTGGATTTCATCATATAGGCATCATAAAATCCGATATACCCAAAACAGCATTCTCTACTCCTTCTGGTCATTTCGAATACACTCGAATGAGTTTCGGTTCAAAGATAGTACCAGCTACATTTCAAAGATTGATGAATAATATCTTGACAGGTCTCCTTGGACGATATTGTAATATATGCTAGTTCAGTCACGTATTTAGGACATATATTCAATGAATCCGGTATTTCTCCAAATCCTGAGAAAATTAAGGCAATAATGGAATACCCAATTGCACAAAATCCGAAACAAATCAAAAAATTCAATATAGGATATGGTGGGTATTATCGACGTTTTATCGAAAAATTTTTCAAACACGTTAAAGCTTTGACAAACCTCAAAAAAGATAATCCTTTTATTTGGTTCGAAGAACAACAAACATCATTGGAATATTTTAAGGAAGTCTTGATTCATCAACCAATATTACAATTTCTAGATTTCGAAAAAAGATTTATTCTGACGCATCTAATTATGCAATTGGTACTATTTTGTCCCAGGTAACAACCAGTAAAGATCTTCCTATAGCTTATGCTTCACGAACTTCAAATTCTCACGAAATGAATTATTCCATTACGGAAAAGGAACTCCTTGCGATCGTATGGTCTACAAATCATTATCAACCATATCTCCATGAACGCAAATTTATTTTCCAAACCGATCACTCACCGTTAGTATGACTTCAATTGCAAAGACCCTAGTTCACTCCTTCTCCGTTGGTGACTCAAATTGGAAGAGAATCAATACACAATTCAATATAAATCTGGACGAATCAACTCAAATGTTGTCACGTTTTCAAGAAATCCTGTACTAACCATTCAAACTTATGACGAACCTGATACGTATGATAACTTCATCAAAAATCATTATACGAATACTCAACTTCCAGNCTCAGTTTGTATTTCAAACATTCGTTGTGGAATAAAAATCAGATTTCATTCACATGAGTTCTACTTTGAATGAATGGTAACAAATTGCACTTACATGGAACACTTTTATCCTCACTGGTATACATCGATGTTTCGCCTGAAGACACTTGCCCTAAGCCTCTTCAGTACCAAATTGGATAACATTACAGAAAATACTGAAACGAATTAAAGAATTAACTGACTTAAACAAATTTATTTTTAACAATATTTCACTTTCACAACTAATTTATGTACAACACTTAGCAACCAATGCTTAATGTATCTTCACAGATTTATTTCTTTAAACGCACGATTCACTTTCTAAGTACAGACTCACTCCCCCTAGGGACGGGACGTCGGCTTTATATAGCAGCAACGATCTCTCTCATCATTCCGGCACTCATCTAGAATTGTCGTTGCGGTTCGTCGACCGCATTCTTTTTGCGATGAGTCATATATGTTTGGTGTCTGAGATAACGGTCAGGGCCGGCCTCAGATTCATTACATTGCCCCCTTCTTAGAGACGTTTCGCCCCGAAATGTCATCCTTGGCGTGTGTCGATACCTGCAGGACTCTCCATGTCTGCACTGTGAAGTTCGATGGAAGTAACACTCCACAGCCGCTGGATCTGAATATCGTTTCCAACATGCTCCTCACAATTCTCCAGTCTAGCCTGTCGATTCCAGAGGCTAATTTCGGGATTGCCAAGTCCACGAGATTCTGGTCGAGCATCGTCTCCTTCAGTCTGGTTAGACTTCTCCAGACATCTTCATACGACGGTTTGTCTCGAGAATGCTTTTTGGTCACTGAGTAGAAAATATTTCTCTGGCCCTTCTTCAACTGTAGCATTCCTCCGACTTCTGGATTCTGTTCTCGTAATGTTTGGAGCTGACCGAATTTCTTGTTGAATACCACAGCGATACCCTTGGACATTTGAAGATCCTCTGCCACGCAGTGGGCTAGTGCGTAATCAACTGGAACCTTGAAAAGGTCTCGTGGCTCTTCTCGAGTTACCCCATGTACGATCTTCTGTCCGTTCGAGTATAAGGACATGAATTGCTGGAACGTCATTTCATCCTCTGGTGGTTTGAGGGCGCGAAGTTGTGATTTCCAGCATAAGGAGCCAATCTATTAAAATGGACGACCCTAGGCTTTCCTCGAGGTGGCTTATGGATTCGGTAGACGAGGTCATTATATAAGGGTCAACTTTGTAATCTTAAGTCCGTATACTTTCCTATCATTATCATTTACCATTCGTATATCAATATTTGGAGATTTAGTTAACAGCCTTTCATCCATATCTAAACGTTGAACGATTAATGTATTTAAACTCAACTGAACTCAATTATGTTATCAAACTTGTTTATTTATTCATTCTCATCCGACATAACAATTATGTTATCAAAACGTATAAAATCATAGTCATAACTCAGAACAGACACAGTTTAGTTCAGTCACAGTAGTTCATCTCTTGTCATATACCGAAGTTAGTAAAATATCGATGTGTAAATAAAGTTTAGTTAAACCGATTCGCAGAATAAGTTCTTTGTTCCTCAAGTAATTGGTTCACAACAATTGTTGCAGATTGCTGCTCTTGCTATCATCAATCCTGTAATTCGCCCTTAGTCTGTCATGACCACATCCCTTGATATCAAATCATTTTTCGTACAAGCTACGCATAACACTTTGGTCCGTGGCGGCACGATCACATTCCTTTTTAACAATGGTACGTGCCTATGGTTTCTTCTAACCTAGATTGCCAACTCGAGGGTCGTTCAGCACATCTGTTAAGGTAGCGAAGGCACACTTCGTTTGTACCGTTTCGGATTTGTAGGTTCATTGACCCAACTGTTATCTCCGTGCTCAGTATCGTATTTCTCTCCCTTGAAATTATATCTGTGATTGTAAATGCCAAGCGCCAATCAGTCTGGCTTACACCCTCCAGTGTCGTACTTATGACCTCTAAACTTCGTGCACATTTTGAAGTCCAATTTCTCGAGACTATTCCTTCTATTATGATAATTTTCTGCATTGCTCATTGCTAATTCCATTTTCATCTTATTATCGTCTGCGGATTTGAGGGTGCCATTCACTTTTCTATCTACTCTAATTACATTAATCTCTGTTTCTCTGCAACTTGATTTTACTACTACGTTTTCTTTCAAACTGCTGCAAGGGAGTTCATTTTCTACTTACTTCCTTGGGTTACTTTCTATTTTTTTCTGCAATCCTGATACGAATTCCGCTTTCATATTATTTTCTTTCATTTTCCTTGGATACACACTTAATTCATTTTCTATCTCATTTCCACTGTATTCGTGTCCTGATTCTACTGGGTTTTCTCCTTGATTTCTAAATGGGCTGATCGTATGTCCAAGCTCTGCTTTAAGAAAAGTATTGCGTCTACCTTTCAGTCCATCTGTTTCAAGTTGTTCCCACCTAATGACAGGCAATTCTCCAGTCTTTTCATATCTATGCTGACCACTTATATCGTAACCATAACCAGTTTCATTTCGAGGCTCTCTCTGGTACACAGTTGAAGTAGGATTTCGACCAGGTTCTTCATACAGGAAAGTACTGCGCCTATTTTCTCGTTCATCTGCTTCTAGACTTGTCCTCTCATCATCAGACGTACTTTGTCCTACCTTAAAATTCTCATTGTCATATTCCATCTTGGAGCACGACTTGCTACAGAACGTCGTTGGTTCTTCATAAACTTGATTCACATAATCTTCATTCTCATGGGCAACACACGTAGAGAAAAATCCATCTTCATGAGATCGGAAAGGGTTATCACTCCTTTCTCGGCTGGGCGAACTCGGTGGTGATGACACCGAATTCATCTGGGAAATTTCTAACATATCCTTCGTGCTAGCAATCGAATATTCCTCTATACGTTTCATCCTTTTCTCTAATTTACTCATATTCTCTTGTATCTTATCAGCCTTTCTGGCTCCAAAAACTCGCGTAGATTCACTTCCTTATTTGACCTCTTGGTTCAATTAAAACATCATGTTTGTGTTCCAACACATCTTAACCCTATATCCTTACAGAAAACCCATTCCTTATAAAATATTCGTAGTAAAATCTTCTATCTGTTTGACTAGAAATTCGTGTTCGATTACCTGGCTATTACCAAACCTCATCTGCATCATCGTGTATCCCCTGTAATGTATCAACTTTCCCTGAACATTTTGTAAGGCACATTCTTTACCGCGATAAATTTTTCTACTATCTACTATATTTGCTGAATCCAGGGCTCCAGTATCTATCAATACTTTCATATATATCCCGTTAATCTCTATTGTTACGATATTCTTCTGAACGTCTTTGTCTGTTCACGCAGATATGGTCGTCCAACAATTCCCTTCTTTCATGCCTAATTCTCTTCGACTTTCTCCAAGGGAAAACGGAAAGTCGGCGGAAGTTTAAAAACTTCTCTGCTGGGGTAATTCATTCGTTGCTTTAATGGGCATTTAGCTGCCCTATGTTCTGCTTCTCTGCATAAATAACATAATCACTATCTTATGAAACAATATTTTTTTGTGTGCCCTAACTTGTCACAAAACTCACATCTCGCAAGGTTATTCCTCTCTTGTCTATCTTGAACTTGTGTTTCATATTTTGTCCCATCTCGAGAATCCCTGTTGATTCGCGTGGCGTCGCTATTATTCTGTCGATATTTGTTAGCCCGTCCTTCTTGCCTGTACGCTCCGCTACTGATTCCATGGCTTCCATTTTTCGAACAGATTTTCGAGAAGAGAGTAACGACACCTTTTATCAATATTCGAAGATTGTCATTCTGGACATTGCGCCTTAATTATCAAGAAAAGTTCTGTTTCCTATCATTCTGATAGATACTCACCTAAGGATAAATGTAAAATATAATACTTCATCTTTCTGATTCGGTAATAAGTTGCTATCCCTTTTTCTTTCCTTGAAATTCAGAGATAACACCTGTTTGAACTATTTCAATATCGGAGACTGGTTGCTTTCCTTTAATTTTTTACATGTAATTTCTCGCGTTTTATAATCAGTTTATTTTAAGATCGAAAGACTTGTCAGTATGATTATGTTTTTTCGTCTATTTACTTCGGAATTTGTACTGGTATCAACGGAACTTCACTTTGCAATGAATTACATTTCACTGTTGTTCCTTCGCGTATTTTCACTGTCACTGACGGATATAGCTTCACTTTGACTTACCAAACTGGACTGAATTAATGAAGATTCTGTCCCCATATTTATAGTGCAAATAATGATGAAATAATGTGAACACGTGTGCGCCTACATGACTGTCTCCGTGAGTCGCGAGATTCTGACCCCATTAATCATCGACAGCAAATTAGCGGTGACAGGTTTTACGATTATTACACCAATGCCGACAATTCTTATCTTCATCGTCGGTCGGCGAACAGAGTGGCGTTCGCTAATTGGGCTCGGAAAACGGCGCTGTTCACTTCACGTTAATTGATTAATTTAATTCTTCTCTGGGATCACCTACTTCAAATACGATGTCTGATTTTTTGGCTCGTCACAATGAGACTCAGATTTTGTTACTTTTCTTATTGAAACAACAACTGAAAAGTAGAAAATTTCAGAACTTTTATAGTGACATTCAATATTGATTATTTATTATTTTCATTCACTCATTCATTTCAAGGTTAGGTATGCAAAACTCCATCAAAACTCTCAAGTAAACTGTATTCCTTATTTTCTTGGTATGCTCAAAGTGTCTTCTATTCCAATGTAACTCAGTTGGTCAACAATGACAAGTATTGAAAGGGGTACAGTATTTCTGAAAATTAGGTGGATAACGGATAATACTTTTCAATTTGCCAACTCTTTCACTACTCATGATTGAATGTCTATAAAAAACATCAAGAACTGATTCGAACCCTTGCCTTCGCAAATCAGAAGCTAATTATTCCACCTAGCCTCAAATACAACTTTTTTGCTTCAAATCAATAAAAGTGTGAGAAAACGGTATAATTACTTTTTGAAATGGCAACTGCTATAAAAATGGAATGAGACTTTGTTGTAGTGAATATTATAGTGACTAAAAATGTAATATATCGTTTTATCATATCATATATGAAACTCATCGATAGAGTGAAGAATATTGTTCAACTGACAGAAATTATTATCAGTTATTCTAGTTGTCATGGAAAATAGTTAAATCGCCTATAGATTATTGAAGACTATACCAAATATTCATTATATTTGTGACTTCTATTGAATTGATTCTTTTAGTATGAATAGATGATAACCTCAATTCAATGTCAGTGTCAGAGGAATTCGCATTACGCAAAACAAACATTTCATGTAGCCTTTTCATATCTCGCAACATTTTGGTTGCTTTTTCCATAATTCCATGTGTACTCAATTATTTTTTTCAATTATATCATCATTATTCATTATTATTTTCAGGCATTTGTTCTTTTGATGGTCTCATTTACGTGTGTGGAGGTTATGATGGAGCATCCTGCTTGAGTTCAATGGAGAGATTTGATCCTTTAACAGGGGTTTGGTGTAGTTGTCCTGCAATGAATACTAGAAGACGTTACTGCAGAATTGCTGTTGTAGGTAATAATTCTTCCACAATATTTCAGGAGTCATTATCAATCATGATATTCATTGTTTTTTTCATTACAGACGATTGTATATATGCCTTAGGAGGTTTTGATTCTACTAATTACCAGGCGTCCGTAGAGAGGTAGGTTTTCAATGAAATTGAGTCTTTACAACTTTGGTAATGTAACATAAAGTAAACTAACATTGGAATAAATAATGAGTATTCAATCAATATCAATACCCGCCGTGTCTGTCTGAATGAAATGGAGTGAAAAACTAAATATCGAATTTTCATACTGTTTTCACCAATGGACTGAATGGTACAAGATAAATTATTACCTTTGTTTCGAGTGGATTTTTTCGATGTTACTAATGATGTTGGCTTGTGTGTGCGTGTATGTGTACTCTATACAAACTGATTTGTACAGAATACACATGAAGGATTATGCTTTTCATCGTGTATGCAATCTCTTCTTCATATTTATGAAGGATATCTTCACCGTATATGCAAATTCCAATGTCATTACCCCCTTTCCCTCCACTGCCACTCACTGACTAGATGAGCTCACAGATTGCTCATTAGTTGGAATTTCTTTTTGGTGTTCAGACATGTATGCTCTGCACAATATAGTTTATACTTGGCACATATAAGCGATAATCTGCATTACCGTGTATGCGCCTCGCACATCTGAAGGTCGAATAATTATTATGATGTAACACACACACACACCCAATGTCTCAGACAAAGAAAATATTCCCATGTATACATTTTCAGCTATTCACCAGGTCGAAACTAATTACGCACTAGATATATCATTCCATAGTCTCGAGTGCACCACATAGTTTTAGAACGTTTTAGAGGGCGGAAACTCCTGCCCGCATATCATCGAAGGCACATCCATGTGTTGAACTAGAAACCGTCTTTATGGACAAGCTGATACTGGAACAAAAAATGTAGGCATATAAATATGTTCTGATACAGAAGCGAAGCCGAGTTGCTAGCGACAGACAAAATATAGAAACATGTTTTTGCATGCATTATCAAAACAAATGGGAAGCTTCAGTTCCCATTGCTTTCAGTTAGTTTCAATGGAAGTATACTCTAACTTGTTATTTCAAATCATAAGTTATACACACACACCCCAACGCCCCTACCGCTAAAACAGTCGTTATGGTCCACTCGGAAAACCGTATCTACTATCTCCTATCACTATCTACACCACTATTTACTGGCACTCAACTCCGCATCTTAAAATTATATATAATCGAGTACCGCCTGCCTAGCGGGAGGCGAAGACAAAATGTGAATAACCAAGAGAAGTATCTTTTCTAGAAATATGTGGATTCATTTTCCAATGCCATTCCTGGATAGCTGTCCGGCAGATCTTGAACTGGAATTAATAAGGAAATGACCTCCCCTATCTAACCCTATCTAAATCGTCGAGACACGTCAATTTTTGATTTCTACAGTGTACATTTTTGTATGAATAGTTCACCCCAAATTCAATTCCTCACTTGAGGAGACCAACCCTGTCGAAAAATTTAAATAGCATGATGGGGTGGTGATTGAAGAGGGGTTTTATTCTGTACTCAACCGTGCAAAGAATTACACCACAAACAGCAACTGAACTAACAAAAACTTTTTCTGTTATGTAAATGTTCAAAATGTTCCCCGTTGACTTCCTGGCAAAAATAGAGTATATTATCAGTTTCAGTCCGGACGCTGTGCCAATTATCGCAAGTAATTCTATAATCCACGCACCCAACTCCTGAATAGAATGACACTGAGTCTCGTAGACTTAAGATTCTAGGCAACGCCATAGAAAGAAATCTAAAGGATCTCAATCTGGTGATTTTGGGGCCATCACACATATCATCGTCTTGACGCCCGAATCATCGTCCTGCATAAACAGTATTCAAATAATATTACTGGAGTTTTTTCCCAACACCAAATCGTTATTTTTAACATCTCGACACGTGTTTCGATCACCAAGTGATCATCTTCAAAGAGGAAGATTAAAACTCACTATTCAAATAAGTCCTCACTGCAACTGCAAAATGGTGAGAAACTCCATCTTGTTGTAAAATAATTTCTATGTCAAATTCGTCTGAATTATTTTCGACAGTTGCCACTTTCAGTGGATCTATCACTGTTTCTAGCATTTCCAAATAGAGGACACCAGTAAGATTTTCATCAATGAATAACGGATCTATTATGTGGTCACCCAATATTTCCGCCCACACATTATCTTTTTGGGAAAACTGTCAAGAAAAAGTCAAGGGTTTTCAACTGACCACATTGTGTCTATGCACGTTAAAAAATAGCCTCATCACTGAGATGAATGTGTTTAAGTTGGGATTCAGCAAAATATTTTCAGAGAAAATTTGACAATTTTTGGCTTTCTACTACTTCATCTTGTTACTAAAAATGTGGGATTTTTCTAAAAAAGGAAGGAAGCAATCAATTTCAGAAGAAGTAACTCTGTACCTAGATGTGATATCATTCACATAATTTCTACACGATATATTAAATGAAAAATGAAAATTCCACTTACATGGAACACTGTCATCCTCACTGGTAGACATCAATGTTTCGCCGTAAGACACTTGCCTTAGGGCTCTTCAGTAGTACAGTACCAATCTGGATAATAAAGTGACTGGTCTATTCAATCCTTCACTACATGCCGCGGGAGTTTATTGTCGCTTACACCTATTCAAGTTCGACCAAATAGATCCAGTTCGACCAAATAAATCCAATTCCTTGACGAAGTGGATTAGTTTTGATGAGTAACTGGTGGGACTCCGCTACATTCTGAAAATCTGACCCGGTCCGCAGCGACACAGGCATAAAGTTCGTGCCCTGCTACTAGGGCCTGAATTTTCTTGTGAGGTATAATTCACCCTAAGTTTGACGGACCATGATAGATTTTCTTCAATGTAGTGATAACCTGATAGACGGTCAGTCTTCGACTATTTTTGTGAAGTGGGTAGGTAAACTATCTGGAGAAGGAGCTAGGATACATCTCCTGATCATCTCTGTTACGATACCCAATTGGATTGACGTGGGTGGTTCACGATAGTAATTCAGTCGACCGTTATGTAAAACGGTGGTCCGAACCCTATGGCAGACGATCGATTTTCAGGTTCAACGTCCAACCTGTGCTGGGAATCTCGCGTTGAAAGGTGAGGCCTCGTTAATCTTCAGCTCGCACAAGTTTCGACTTTTGAGGCTTGCCATTTGACAGCTGGTTGAAAGGAAAACAGGTTTGAAATCTGTAAGCCAACCAAGTTGGATTATGCAAATCTGCAATCGTAACCTGTGAATCATCATCTGGAAAATCCTTGATTACTGCTGAATCATAGTAGTATAGTATGCAATTGGACACACTACACCAGGCATACTGAAGCGATTCCAGATGATTGGTTATTATCAAATGTTCAAGGTGTGAAACGTCCTTGTTATTGACCACAATAATTTTTCAAAATAATAGCATTTGTGCATCAGATGTCATAGATTCTGCTTTTCCTGCTCGTGAATTTATTGACATGTCGAGTATTGCAGAACTGAGCAGCTCTTGCTTTTGGTTCTATGTTACAGGGAGGACTCTTAGGGTTGTTTAGATGAAGCCCATCTCATCTGTAGACTCTGGGTCTGGGTTCTTCGGTTATATCACGGTCCACATAGGTTTCATGAGTAGCTAGAGAAAAAATGTCTATCGCGACAGAATAGTACATTATCGTGACAAAGCTTTCTACGATGAGAGCGTCTCGATGATTCCGTTAGTGACACTGAATGGGCTTACTCATACTTTTTTCCTAGAGGAATACACAAACTTCAGGATGAGACTCCATTCAGGAGGACTGCTACCAGCACGGATAGGTGTCCACGATAATTATTGAAAGTATGAAGTGATAAACTGATATTGATTCCTACTTTTCCAGGTTTGACCCAAGAGAAGGTATTTGGTGTGCAGTTCCGTCGATGTCCTCCAGAAGAAGCAGCTGCGGTGTTGCTGCTTTGAATAACCATCTTTATTGCATAGGAGGTACAGTATCAATTACAATAGATATATTCGTTATGAAATGATTTTATTTTGAAGGAAATGATGGTACGATGTGCATGTCAAGTGGTGAAAAGTTCAACATCAGGAGAAATGCTTGGGAACCTATAACCTCAATGAACAGCCGAAGGTAAGATACAGAAATGTTATCGATTAAGTACATGAGAATATTTCTCTATATGTTACCCTGCAGGAGTTGTCGGCTTATATTTCTCATAGTCGATTCACGGCTTGAAAATAACTACGAATAGTGTGTTTGTAGTTAATCATATGGTTATGTGATTAACTACAACAATGTGGTTACATTATTGAGGTGAAATCAGCTAAGGCTGATATTTCATTTTGAGCGTCACAATTATGTATAAGATCTGTATCTGTATGAGTGAGTGTAAGCCCACATCACTTAGGCTATATGTGACCCATTGTACATCCTCCCGTGGAGTTGTCCTCCTAGGTCATCGTCCATCCTGTCCTTTACTATTACCATCTTTTCTGGAAGTAAATTACTCGAATAACAGATTTAAGATGAATTGGTTAGGCTCTACTCGTATTATTCTTTTCGTGTTCAATATACATACATGTTCATGTTTATTGACCTTGAATTCGTTTACTGAAATTCACATCATCGCACACTATATGCGGAATGCTAGACATATTCTCATGTCGGTAACTGTATTCGAATGTTCACAATACTTCGACATCATGTTTCAGATCGAAAATATGACCGATACAAATGTTTGAAACAGAGAGGGATACACGTTCTAGGGTATTCTTACCAACAATATTCGGTCGTATATTGCTTATTAATCTTGTAGTATAGATGTGAGTTGAGAATCTAGAAAAATATATGTAAAATCACTTACAGCATTCAATTTTCATATCGTCTCAGTGACACGGTATGAAACTGAACACAAAACTGAACAAATCAACTTTTTAATAGGCAGCAACTGTATATATTTTGATGGTTCTCAACTTCCGAAGCCATTCTTGCGTTTCTTGAACTGTTGACTCCGTGGCTGAATAAAAAAAATAATATGTTTTTTTTTCAGATCAACTCATGAAGTAGTAGCCATAGATAACTACATATACGCGATTGGCGGAAATGATGGTTCCTCTAGTTTGAATTCTGTAGAACAGTATGATCCAAAAAGCAATAAATGGGTTGTTGTCTCACCGATGAGTATCAGAAGAAGCTCCATCGGTGCTGCGGTATTGGAGTGTATAAATATAGAGCACGTTTTGAAACAAACGAGACATAGCAGTTGACACATGTTGACTGTTTGAAGTCTAGTCGAATGTTACTTTCTAATTGAATTAGTACTGTTTATTTCGGAAGGTTGTTGTTCCAGGCCGACTGTGGAAATTTTGTTCAGAAATATTCGATGTTCACATTCAATTGAAAAAAAAGTTTTTATTATAATGGAGATAGATATCATATATCACGAGTGACAGGTTTGAATAAACAGTGGTGTGTGGTTATCTAATTATTATTCAGGAAATTGAATGAAATCAAACAGTGGCAAAGAATGAATAACCTCCTACCTTATGAAGAGTGGTTGCAGTTGAAATATTAAAATTTCTGAACTATTATAAAGGATCGCAGTCAACTCTATATTATTGTCATTCTATAGTTTTCTTCAGTTACATTGAAACAATTATCGATCAAATTGAAAACACTATAATACTATAATAAGTATCCATCACAGAAACTGAGAAATCAGTTCCATATCTACTGAAATTCAAAATCATCCATGCGAGCTGGACTATAATAACAGTTATTAGAAACAGATTGGATTTATATTTTATGAATAAATGGTCACATGTATGATTCATACTTCTATAGCAAGTGATTTCAAACTAGTGAGGTGTTAATTAAACTTCATACCTGGATATTATTTCAATATACACAAAAATATATGGTTTGAATATTGTATTTAAACAGTCGGGCCATAATATATTATATGTATTGATTTACCATATATTATAATCATAGACTTCGAATATTATGGGGTTACTTCAATCACTATTCATTAGTGATAGGATTCAATTCTATGTTGTTCTTAAATGTATTAGACAAAAATAGTATGATAAAAATATTCAAAGGTTTTCAAGACATGGCTTTCAAAATATTATTTTGACGTGATTCTTAGAAAATATATAAACGTTTATTGCCGGGAATAGGGAGGATAAGGGAAATTTTGGCCGCCTGGGCATCCATATTTTTAACGTAAATAACACGTCAAAGTTCAATACTTATTGTAATTATGAACATGTTTAAATAGAACAGAACGAATTCTGCAAGCGGTCATATTCATAATCTCAAATATATAATCTGACACAATCTTTGTGTTCTCATTAGCCGCAAATGCTGCACTGCATCCAAAGTTTTCTGTTTTTGCCGAATTTGCCACAAATTGAAATTGTCTAAAATTCCTCCACGTTCAGTTTGAATTCAGCAAAGATAGATTGCGCAACATATGTCATACGTAAACTAATATTGGGCTGTAAATATAAATATTTGATGATTACCATTAACCAAGTGGCCATCATTTCCCCTGTTTCTCCTTTTAAAGCAGGCTAAAAATAATATTGGGCACCATTAGTTATGGAGGTGGCAAACTGGTTGAATATTGATCAGAACGAGTGTAACTAATTTCTTGAATCATCAAATGTATCATAATTGGTCTTTTTCAAATGTAGATGAATAATTGGTTATTTATTTACTATATGAATGGAATAATTATTTGAAGGAAGGTAAAAATTAGGAAATATGCAGTTGAGAGAAATCTTCCATCATATAATCATGATGAGTATATTGTTTTAGGACTAGAAATATTCGTTTATGTTTGAATAATCTGAATAAAAAAGTTGATCAGTTATATGCTGCCCTTTTGAAATGTATAAAATAAATATCTGTGATATATATGTATTCAAAGATTTAATTCACATTTTTGCTAATAGTTGATGCTGTCGACATTGAGTACGTTGAATCTTCATAATATAATTTAAAAATGGAAAGCATTCAAAAAATATTCAGAAAATGTGAACAAGTACTTGTTAAAATAATCTGTAAACAACTGTAAACAGTTCTGATAAAGGTTTCAGATATCTAATTCAAAACTCAGAAAATAAGTTTAGAAAAGTAAAATGTTTTAATTTTATTCACATTTTGTAGCTTTGAGAGTTTTTTATGTTCATTGTGGATTTTTAGTGCTACAATCAAAGAATTTCTTGCACCTCATCACAAATAATGTCATCAATACCTTTTTTGTTTTTTTTTTCCGAATCAATTACAGTTCAATGAATGCACGAAAACTGGTTCCTTTATATCAGATTTTCTTAAATTCGTAAATATTCATTGATATGAGAATATGTATTTTATATACCTATATATCTTTGTGCTGCACTGCCATTTTTATACGAAGCCTTGTAGCAAATGTTCAAAAAATAAATCAATGAATGATTGTTTTTCTTTCAAATTTACAAATTCTCAGATGATAATAACACATGAAAAGCAGCCAGAATGAAAAGTTTTGAGGAATATAAAGAGAAGAGAAAATTTCGAAGATGAGATATGAATTAATGGTACCAAAACATAACTAAGTGCAAAAAGGGATCTTCTCAGGAACATTCTCAATGACGAATAAACTGAAACAGTTTTCAAACACTGGTAAAGAAATACAACTTTGAGTGCCACACACTTTCCTGGTCAGAAATATTTTGAACAAAAATTAAAATTATTTTGGTTTCAATATTTCTTTACAGTATATTCGAGTGCATCAGTGAGAAGAGGGTCTATGCAGGGATGGCCACTAATACCCTTGGCCTTTGGTGAGTTGCGACACCACTTACCCGAGCAACTGGTGCAAAACCGGACCGGCAGCCCAGGCGCACCCGGGAAGGAGAACTCTATTCTCCCTCCGGTGCCGGCCGTGGGTCCACAGGGCTAACCATCCGGTGGACCCAACACTTGGTTCCCAGTGATCAAGGAAGGGGCCCCCACAATCGACCCGCTCGGAGGGGTCAGAGGCAAGGTGTTGGGCCCATAACGATGATTTGCCTACTGATGACAACCCTGGCAACGACAACGGACGCTTTGAGTGGACGCATGAGCTGAGAGATAGCCTTATGCTGCTACGAGAGTAGTGAGCCCGCGCGAAGAGGGTACATAGCGAGATTGTATGCTCTGTGGTGTGAAACACACCCGGAGCATGCCGCCTTTTCCGAACAAAATCTTAGGGATTACGTATCCTATCTTCGGCGGCAGGGCTATATAGCTCCTCCCCAG